AATCTAAGATTTGTATGAGTAGGTCATGAGTCTCCCCTTTAATCCGACACCCAAAATAACCCAATCCAAAAACCTAAGATCTGAGACAACCCAATTCGAACCCACCCAATCTGACCCGTTTGTCAAGTCTAGATAGAAGCAAGAGAATTTAGGGTTGAGAAAGTTATCTCAATTCATCAAAATTTATTGTGCAAATATCGTAATAAGAATATTTATAGGGTACAAAACCCTAGTGAACCTATGAAAATAATAATAGAATTCTTGTAATTAATAAAGTTATTAAATAAACCCATATACCAACCTAGTACTTAAATGATATGTAGGAAAATAAGATGGATTAACACCTGGCATTGGAAGCTGAAAAGGCCGCCAAGTATGACATTAGTGGCTAAGTTGACAAGTCAAGTAGTATTAGTTTTGCTAATATTTTAGTTATCTCCTTCTTATCTATTTCTCAATGTTTCTCCCTAAACTCTCTCTATAATCAATATTCATTCAAATAATATATCAAAGATAATTCTCTTCTTTACTTGATTTCTCTTGTATTTCTCTACTCTATTTATCCCAGGCATCCTTAAACTTCCTACAGAAATAACATTACTTAAACCACTAGCAGCTATGGGGTGATGCACCATCATTCTCCCCAGGTTGAGAGAAGAATTTGACTCCAAAGAGTGAGAAACCAAATATTCTTCAAGGAGGGCAGGAACCACGATCAAAAAGTTCCTATTTTGTCAAACAAGAATTACTTGAGGGTTGACATATCCTTTCCACTGCACCAAATAGCAACGAAAACCACCATGCTTGGAGCCTACAATCTGATCATCCAAAACCCCTGTAACCACCTTGAAGTAATGTGGAAAAGGAGCTCCTTAGGAATAGGTATATATAACTGCTGCGCTAGAAGCAGGCAGAACAACGGGCGCAAACACATTCCTTTGTAAGGCAACAACTCTTCTACATTGAAAATTGGATTAATAATAACAAAATGATCAGGTAAACCAAGCAAAAATACATTAGATCAAGCTTCTGAATAATGGAGTACGGCACAATGGTTCTAGAAAATAATTTTTCCGAAGCATTTTTTTAATCCTAATACTTAGTTTTGGTTTCTTTCTTCTTTTTTTCTTTTTTTTTTTTTGATAAAATAACAAAAAAACATAAAATAAAATAAGAGAAATAAATAAAATAATCAAAGTATGGACAAATAAAAGTAACTAAAGATAGAGATAGAACATGAAAATTTTTGAGAACATATTTAAGTTTTCTATCTAATAATAATTATAAGGTTTAATTAAAATTTATGAATATTTAATAATTAAAAATAAAAAAATTAATCTCAATTATAAATAAAGTAAAGTGAAAACCAGGTCTTAATATTTTAAATATTAAGAGTTTTTATAAAATTATTTAAATATTATTAATGATTTTTTTGTGTTGATTTATTAAGAGTATTTTAGTCTTTTCATTACCATTTATAACATTTTAAAATGTCAAAATATTCTAGTTTTCCCTAATTCTTTATAAATAATATATTACTATTTTTATCAATGACATGTTGGTCCAATTAAAAGGTTAAGAAAGTTTTTCATATAAAATTTGATAGATTTCAAATTTTCAACTCTAAATTAATTAAATTTAATGTAGTTTTTGAATACAAAAGTTTAACAAAAAAAAATGCATTACTATTTTTAACAAAAATTATTACAACGAAATATCTATTTAATAGTTACAATTTTACTATCTCTCGACCGGCCGTTGGAGAAACAGAAGCCACGTGAGAGCCTCTCCCCTCCTGCTTCTTCTATCCACGATGGAGAGAGCGGCTGGTCTTGCTGTTGGTGCAGACTTGATTTGGCATTTTAAGCAGGTTGTCCCTCCTCATATCTCCC